TCTTCCACCAAACTACTTAGAAATCTTGTTGACTGAGTTCACAATTCAAAGCTATATATGCATTTATATAAGAATACTGTAAAGTATTTACACATTTGCCAGCACCTCTATTTATTGAGCTATGATCAAATTAATTTAAATAAATGACTGTGAAAGAAAGGATTTGTTAAACACCGGAAATATTTAATCATTGGAGTCAACAGAGCAAACTTGATTATTCACTCAACATGCTTGATAACCAGAAATTTTAAAAACTGGTAGTTTTTAATTACATCGATAGTAACTAAGTAAGCTAATAAGGAGCAGCCCAAGATTCAAAAACTGAGAATTCTTTGATCCCCACAAATACCGATAATAATCATGTGCTTACTAGTGACTTCATTCAAAATGCAGTTACTGGAGTTTTAGTGAAGAGGAGTGACTAGTGGAGTTCCACCATGTCAGTTATGAGACAGTTATCTACCACATGCAAGGAATGAAGGTTGCTCAATATTATGAATCTTTTGAAGTTAGACATTCATGCAATTGGATACCCGACTAGTAGTCAAGAGGTTAAGCATTCATACGAAGGACCGAATGTCATCGGTTCGATAACTGGTGTCTGGGTCGTGGATGTTCACTTCTGAAGAGCCCCGTCCCAGAGAAAAGTGACTGTTTAATGCTTCCAGGCTTTCATTGGTGTCTTAACTAAGAGCATTTCATGATTTAGAAACTACTAAAATAATAATAGGATTGGTCTTCTGGAAATATAGAAACATAATCGTCACTGTGAAAGCAAAACGTAATAATACGAAAGCTCTATGAAGGAATCGCACCCATCAAACCATTTTCATAATTATAATCATAAGATTTATAAGCTTTGGATGGTCAACAAATTTTTGCCAAATTAAAGTCGATTTAGAAGTCATCCACTAGAAATACAAAACTAGACATCGAAATATGTAAACATATCTTTTTCATCAACAACTAATTTCTTCATCTCTCTTGATAACCATTTTAGCAATTATTCAGTTTTTATGACATTCATGTAAACTGTCTATCGGTATGGAATTTCTAATGTTGACCACCATAAATTAAATCAATCAAAGTAAATTGACCAGAACTTTTAAGATTGAAAAATGTATGCACATATTTTCGACTACTTGCAAGTAGTCACTAGAATAACTTAAAGCTCAAGCGTTGGCAAGAATTAACTTAATAAACTAACGTTAAATTCCTTGATCTGGTACGAATGGAAGCAGTATCTGAAAATGTAAAGCACATAATTTAATTTATAATGAATAGTGATGAATGAAGGTTTAAGAACGACTGGCAATTTTATTAATTGTTGGTTATTAAGAACAGTTAAATCTTAAGGATATTTTTTCTGGGTTATACTACGGCTATTTATACTTTCCTCGTGTTTCAGATAGAAAACGGAGGCCATAAGCATAACAAAGTTGTTTGATTGAACTTTTTTGACCAGTCTAATATCTTAACTGTTGTTAGTTGAATTCAAGTGTTTTTATGATTGAAAAATCTTAAATCATTGCTGACAGTCTCAATGTAGATGGCAAAAGTTGTTCCAAGTTGTGACATATTTATAACTAATAAATTTCACATTATCTCAAATAATTCATGATTTACACAATCAACCAGAATAAGATAGCTAAAAGGCTTTTCTGTAATATCATAATTTTTTTTAAATTTAAATAATTGTAGCCAGTCTTTAAATAATATATTACTCAGATGACTTATAGTCAATAATACAGAACATACTTCCATCAAGGATAGTATATGATGTTTGGTTCATTTTTTTAAAAAAACAAGAGTTTCGAAATATTTTGGTTTAAATTTGAAGTTTATTTTCGGGTTACATTACAAAATATGTTTTCACGTAATGATAATTAAATTAACCACGACATATGTGTTGGTTTAGTTTCAACTGTCATCACTGAAGCTGGTTCATGATTAAGTAATTTACATCAATGTTAATGTTAGTCAGTTGAACTTGTCTGGGTTTTTAGCTACCGATATAACTAAACAACGTTTTCTCACGAATATCATTTTCAGTGAACTTCACTCACACTAACTACGAGGTAGGAGATAGGTTTTCCATTAAGCTTAAAACAGCATATAATTGTTTTCTATTAACCTAATTAGTATGTTTAAATGTTAGATTGTTGGAGATAATCCGAACAAAACGCTAGACTTGAGTTTCGAGCTGACTGGGAATAGTTAGCAAGCCTTACTTACAGTTTTTAGAAAACTAATACACTCAGTGAGATTTAAATCCATGTCAACCTGCTTCAATATTATTCAATTTTATAATCCCTACTTCATTCGACCTTCTAATCAATTTTGTTAAAGGATCAGATAACGTTTTTGATTTATTCATATTGATACCATTCTTCATCATTAGTTGTTTCTGGACTTTTTCTATACTGATACTGTTGCATCACCATATTTTATTTTGTTAACTTTAATTATAGATAACATTCAACAAATTTGAAAAATAATTTAGTAAGGTAATACATTTGTTTAATAGCTGTAGGAAATGATTAGGAATTATGTAATCACGCCTGTTGAGAACAGAAATTACTGCTTGTGTGACAGTATAGGATAAGAAAACTAATAAAATGTGCTTGACAAACTTAATTTCTAAGATCAAACACAAAATGGCAATTAATTTTTTAAGACTAGTATGGTTTCGATTGAGGTCATAAATGGATAAATGATAGATCACCGTTGAAAACCTGGAAGCACTGGACGACCTAGTATGAGACCCCTCAGTAGTGTGCACCTACACTCCTGCATGTGGGATTCAAACCCAGCGCTTTAGGTCTCGTGCGCAGACGCTTAACCCCTAGACCATTGAGCCATTGACCATTGGGCGTTCAACCGTGCCAACGTCTAACTTCAACCAATTCACAATATTGCACGACTGTCCTCCATTTTCCTCAATGAGTAATTGCCTCACATCCGACATGGCTTCTGAATCTACAGTGAAAATATTGTAAAAATCCCTCAATCTGAGCTTTTTATATCATGAAATGTTCACATCTGCAATTTATGTTTTAATGTTATAATTCATATAATTTATTTTAAGATTATATGTCTAGTTATAGCAGACTATATTCATTATATGTCGAAGAAATCTGAAAAATTATCAAATCATGTGACTGTTTTAGTCTTTTTTAAATACTCTTTCAAAACATTCTCTTTGAGCATGATTAAAACAATTTAAAGCAAGCTATTTTGTGCACGTATTACTTTAAATCAACTTAAAAATAACCATAAAAACCGGTAATGTAGAATCACAGGAACTTATCTAACATTTAATAAACTATCTACATTTTATAATATCTAAAAAAACAATCATGAAGTGAGCTTGTCACTCACTCAATAAAACATACTCACTTGCTTAATTTCGGCTGCTACTTTTTGTAGAGGATAGGGCGTCCACTAGGATTCTTCAATCAACTTTGGCACGGGCTCTCCTTCCCGGTTGTTCCTAATTGTGATTCATTTTTTGATGTCTTACTTCGATCCCAAGTGCAACCCGTTCTCTGATCTTACTCTTTCCTATTTGCCTTCAGGACTCAAATATAGAGCTTGCATCACGATGCCGTTTCATTATTTCCTCAATATATGTTCTATCCACTTCCAGCATCTTAACCTAATTTCTTTAGCAGCCGGACCTTTGCTTGTTTTCTATTATAGTTGGTTGTTGCACCTGTTGTTCTGTTTACATCTCTTCTAGGGTTACTGCCGTCCACAAGACCGAATAAAGGAGGAGGGCTGGGCACGGGTTTAGTAACCTCAACTCATAGGAAACAATTTTGCTAAGAAAGCACTAACCAGGAAAAAGTTATCTAAACTCAGTAAAGTCACTCAGTTTATTCTTAATAAGTACACAAAGAAATACAAAAACGTCTGCAGGCACACAACACCGTCATTGATCTAACCACTGTAATTGTAAGACATTTCATTATCAAGAAATAGTTTTATGAAGGCAGTTAGGATTTTTTGTTTCAAAATTAATAATAAATATCTCAAAGACAATGGGTAAAGACATAATTAAGCACTTATCAAAATATTTAATGTAGAATAGTTAAATGTTTTTATAGCTGTACAAATAAAATATCAGCTACCAAGTATTAGAGACAGTGACATTATGTTATACAAATCATAACTTATAATTGAGATATTCATATTGTTTAGCGCTGTCATTAACTTTCACAACAGAGTTTTATGAAAGCATATTAATTGTAACATTCTTTAAAGGTTTTATATCTCTGTAAGAAGGATCAGTTAGCTTACTGCGTCTTATAAATTATATATATATATATATATATATATATATATATATATATATATATATATATATATATATATATATATATATATATATATATATAAATTCATCTAGCGAATTATAAGTAGGACGTCATGCACATCCTACATTCCATCGCAAGTCACAATCCATCTCTTCTACTTCCTGATAATTGTTACAAGTCCATGTGAAATTATTTAATAATCTTATTCTGAACTTTACTATTACTATAGAATTATTATGATGAATAACGAAATTCCTCACAGATTAATGTCTTATTATGAGTAAAAAGTTATATTTACATTTAACTGTCATATTCATGTGATCAAATATTAAAATTATAATGACATATTAAATTTTTAATTCACATCTTATTTAAACCAGTCGAAATCACCTCTCTTATTGGATTATTACAAAATAATGACACACTGAACACTCATCATACTAAATTAGTATAGAAATAGAAACAGATATTAGTAACTGTAATATGTCATATTTTGTGATTTGTTGTTAACTTTAAAAATATTCTACTATTTTACGGTGCTCAACAGAATTAAAGTTTTATTTTACAACAACGACAACAGAGAAAGCAAATATCTTGGTGAATTAAAAGTAAACTAATTACAGAAGTAAACAATATTCAAGCCAGTAATATCATCGAACGAATCTTCACACAAAGTATAAAATGGCTTCCGTTTCTAAGATTATCTATTTCATTTCTATACTTGTTGCAATCGCATGTATTATTGTATCGATTGCCACTAATCCAACATGGAATGGTAAGTTCTTAAAAAATTCTTCATTTCCTGCAAATTTATTTCGTTCATTTTATCAATGACTTTAAACGGAAAGAATTTTATTTCCATGAACTGCCGATAATTTGCTGAAATTAATGCAACAAATAGTTACATAACTTTGCATCATACAATCTTTATTTCAACGATAACATTTTTCATAACATTAGGCACAATTTAATTTAATTTAATACTTTCAAATTTTATCCAGTGATCATTCATTTTTTATATTAAGATTATATGATTATCTAAAAGATGATTAAATGCTTCTGATTTAATGGAAATATTGAGGTATTCTTTTCAGTATCTCTATACATGTCAGAAGAGACTGTTTAGATTTCAGCCCTTAACATGAACAACAGGCAGATTTAAATCCTAACAAATGAAAGAGGATGAAACGGTTGTCTATTATTTCAGGTTTTCAATGATTGCCTAAGTTAGGTTCGTGATTTAAGTGAAATTCAACATTTCCTACGACCCTATCCTGAAAGAGAAAAGGTCTAATCCGTAAAAAGCATCGTATTTGTCTACTCCAGTTCATTTACTTAGAAAATATAAACTTCGTTGTGACTGTTTTTTTTCTGATGTTTTTTTACATAGATAATACAAATAATTCCTCGTTGAGAGCAAATGGTGGACTTAGTATAGCCGGACTGGTTTTGTTAGTAATAGCAGCTATCCTTGCAATTGTTTTGATTTGCAGAGATTATTCCAGAAGAATAGTGATCGCAATACTTGTTTTACTAATTATAGCCTGTAAGTTTATAAAATTTTCAGTTGAAGTTATTACAAAAACGTACTTAATTGTGATATTAAAAGTACTTGGATATATATATATATATATATATATATATATATATATATATATATATATATATCACAACTTAACAGTAGAGCATTAAGACAGTGTTATCATAAATGTAGAACGACTAATTGGTTGCTTAAATTTTTAGACTTTTTACTTATTATCGTTTTAAAAAAGCCACAAAAGCCTGATTACAGCACAGAATGATTAGCATTACAAAGGGTTAGAAGTTTGTCAGGATAATGAATTAATAAAAGTATCAAATATATTTGAATGAAACAAATTTTTCAGGTGATCCTTCCTATTATAAAAAACCTTCATTTTCAAGCGTTTGAACAATTCAAATATTCAGTGATATTTTTAATTCCATTTGAATTGTACTAAAATAATTATTTATGAGAGTATAATGATGAATCACTAGAGAAAGCTACTTTAAAATGCATTGATGAAGAGTTTAAGTTATAGAATGAAACGCGTATTCATTGAATCTTGATTTTTGTTAGTTGTTCAGCTGAAACCAATCAGTCAGTCGGTTGAGTAAACTATCTCTCAGAAGAATTTTAACCGTAATGTTTTCACGAAAGTGTCCATAGACTTCAATAAAAATAGTCTGATCTTGATAAACGTTACGTTCACTGTTCATATATTATATTTATTTCGAGTAATATTCCTTCTTAGCAATATAATAACTAATACGAACGGAATACAGATATGTCGATGATGAGACAAGCTTTTAGAAAATGATAATAAATGACGATTGTCTTAATTCATGAATTAATTGAAGTTAGTTATGAAGACAGTTAAATGTCAGCTGAATGGTCTAAATGTATCATATTAATCATGAAACCTGAAAATTCTAGATTCGAATTCTGGCAGGATTACTAATGTACACAGTTGAGAAGTTTTAAACAAAGGCAAAACAGATGTTCACTCGATTTTTCTTGGTTCAATCTTCACAAAATAAGTTCGTTATTATATGTCAGGTTAACAAATTCTTCTGCATATATCTAGGTCTATTTCACACTAAATTAATTTATCGAGTTAAATCAATTGAAAATTACTGTATCTACATTAAACTATCTTTTTAGTCCTTTTTCTATTAATTTGTCTAAATTAATTATAGTGATATGTTTCATAGTCGCTTTGGCTATTTATGGTCAACAGATTAATTGGCAAGCATGGTTATTATCAGCTATGTGGGTAACGTTTATTTGTATTCTTATCGCAATAATATTCTTATTGGTTGATGATTATTAGATTGCAAGTATTGTTAACAGTCTCCATGGTTTACTTACATAAAACAATACAACCTTATTTAAATAAAACAAATGACTATATCCATTCATACAATAAATTTATAAATTTGCTTGTTTATTTAGATAACCTGTTTATTTATTTTTCTTGCATAGTTCTATAACTTAACTCTCTGGTTTATTGTAAATTTTATTTCACTTTATCCGACATTTCTTAATTTGTCTAAATACTGTCTCATTAATTTTGATTTTTCTTGAAACTTATTCGTAAGTGAAAGAAGGATATGAATATATAGGTATCCTAAAATTAGTAATATTATTATTATTTTTAGAAGACAAATGAATTTCATTGTTATTAATATGATACAAATGTTTACTTAGACGATTTGTAGTGTTATCATAAACTCTTTTAATTTGTGCCGCCTATATTTGTCAAGTTTTTACGTAATCAGTATTTTTTATTGATTAAATAGAAATAAACGTTTTTAAAAAAAAGTAAAACGTGTTAAAATTGTCGATTATTTACACATTTTTTACTATTGATTATAAGAAGCTCAGTTGACAACGTAACGAATTCGGCTGATACAACGAAAAGTTAAGTGATTGAGTCTAGAATTGAAATTCTTTATTCTAAAAACGTGTCCAACAGAAGTAATGATGCATGCATGATGTGCTCATGGATTCTTACTTTTAAACTACAAAAGGAACGCTTGATATAACGTAATATTTGTTAAACAATATAAAGAACCTAACATAAAAAACTCGGATGAGAATGCTTACATCATGGCTTCATGTTAGAAAGACAGCGAACAGAAATCAGATAGTTCTAAAAAGCCGCTTCATTTCAGTGAAGATACATTCGCTAGTAAAATTTCATGTATACCACTGAGTATAAAATTATTTTGAAAATTTTAATACAACTTAATGTTTACAATCTAAAGTTTCATGTTTAACACAAGATAGGGTGATAACATGAATGATGTTTAAACCATTGTCTAAGTTATTAAGTACTCCGGAATATTTGATAATTTCACAATTGATGATTAAATATTATAAATATGGAAAGTTCCGTAAATCAAGAAACACTTTACTGGGAGTTATTTCGTTTGGTTTGATTATCTTAAGCTAAAACAGTTATCCACTAGTCCAGTTAGCATCTGTTTAAAAGACTTACAAAAACTACTAAACGTTTTGCAAAATAGTCTGTAATCACTAATAGTGTTTGTTGAATCATATTATAGTGAATGCATCATTCATCGATATTAATAAAACAATAATAACAATTAGCGCATCAATAAGTGTATTTTACTACCATTATTTTTTGTTAGAATGAGAAATAACTCTATCAGTAAAGTTATTGATTATTTAGGTATCCTGTTAAATTTGATTGTTACGATTAATAGTTAATAAGTTGGTGGTCATTTATCAATTAGGTGCTCGCGCACGAAACCAGTAGGCCCTGGATTCTAATCTCACAGGGGGTGAGGTCGTGGATGCTCACTGCTGAGGAGTCCCACAATAAGACGAAACGGCCATCCAGTGCTTCCAGGTTTTCCATAGTGATCTAGCTTCAACTGACTCATGATCTCGACCATTGAAATTACTATAATATTCACAGAACCCATTTAAAATTAGAAATGAACAGGAGGCTTATTCAAAGTCAAAATGTACGGTTTGGCAAATAATTAGACGAAAACAGCATATGTTTTCACATGCATCAATCACAGGTTCAGTACTTTAAGAGTAACTTCATATAATAAGTTCTCTTAATTAACTTGAATAGAGCAAGAACAAAGAATTGAGAAGAATAGCATGAATTCTTTTTTCTTATGTTCTCATCAGGTGCTTACAAATTATATTTTAAATTCAAAATTACCGTAAAATGCAAATATTTATGACAGTAAAATTGAATGCGTATCATCATGGTAGAGCAGCGATTTGAATAAATATAGTGAGATTTGCAACATATGAAGTGTTGTAAATAAATGTGATGTGTAAGAGAAACTTCTGGATCACAAGACATGGTAACAAGTTATCATACGGCCGAAATAATTAATTGATTATGTAATGAAGCAGCTAAACGTAAATTAATGGCATTTAAGTAAAACAGTCAAAGGTAAAACTGTGGATTTGAGATAAGTGATGTAATTGAAAAAAGAGAGAAAAAATTGCAAAAATGATATAATAAGCCATCAAAGCAAGAAATGGTTAACAACCTTTTATTTATGGATACATAAATCATGCCTGAAGTATTTGGTGTCTATGCATTCAGTGAATTCGAGAAGAATAAAATTTGACTGCTGATTGATGATGCTGAAAGATTTCAGTCTATCAACTCAATGCTCTGTTTCAAAAAAATATGTTGCAATGGCACTGCTAGTGTGGTGTGTGCTACTTATATTGACATAAGTAACATACGGTGTTAGTCGTGAACAGAAGTTCTGGCAGTAGAGAGATAAGAGGATCGAATAATAAAGAATGGAAACAGGATACAATTTGTATGAAAATGCAAGAACAATGAAGTTTGAGTCATTTTGAGACGATTGGTGGACATTTTGCACATTAAGCATTTACTTTATGATTGTTAGATTTTATTAACAAATCCTGTAATGTGTGTTAAATACATCCGATTGTCCCAACCCGTGTTCTGTTCAGTACACTAGAAGCCTTTAATCTCATTGGTCTGAGGTTTTTTCGAGATACGTTCTTGGGATTGAACGTAGATAGATAGAGAGATTTGTGGATAAATATATTTGTAGATAAACAGATGGACTGAGATAGATAAATAGAGAGATAGAAGGGTAACGGGACGTTTTTCACACTTATAATAGAATGAAACCCTCATTCTTTGAAACAATATTGAAAATCAAGGTTTTTGTGGATATTATAGTAATTTCAGTGGTTGAGATCATGATTCAATTGAAGCTAGACCACCACGGAAACCTGGAAGCACTAAACGGCCGCTTCGTTCTATTGTGTGACTCCTCAGCACTGCGCAATATTGAAAATATATTAAATTTAATGCTTCATTAACTATATATGTTTTTATCAGATTAATGATTGAAATAATTTATGCACTGATTTACAAGCATTACATTCAAGCAGGTAAATAATTGATAAACTAATCACATTTCATTTTTATATCATACTCACTTTAGGTTAATGTAATTCAATACAAATTTGACAAGATAGTAAAATGATTAAACAACCATCTGAAATTGTGTTATATTGTCATAGACTAAATCACTACTGTCATGGAAAGATTTGAGTTAGTATAAACAACAAAAATTGTAGCATATGTATCATTTATAATAATAAATACACAAATTTATAACGCATGAATTTTTATTGTCGTTAATTCAGTCTTTAGTAGACAACGAATTCTTTTCAAAATCCATTTGATTCTACATGCTGACCATTATAAGACATTGTGAAATAAGTGATTATTTATTAAAAATACTTTGAATTGTAATCAAATATTTCCAAGATTAGTTAAATAACAACAGTGAACACTATTAGACATTATTTTGTACGTATATGTTTTAAATAAAAATTCACTGTTTTATTGCAAGATATTCAATTATTCTGACGTGTACATTATTATTATTACTGAACTAACGAAGAAAAATCTGAAATGTATGATATTTTACTACATGCAATAAGTGCATCTATGAAATTATTTACTTTTGTGGGAGAGGTTACATTGGTTACACAAAGTGATCACCAACAAACGCGTCTCAGAACATTACACGGTGAGGCTTTGAAAGGAGAAATAATAACCTATCACCAGTTCGATACGGAAGTACATAATCTACTCTGGCTACTTTGCTTCAAAGAAATTATCCTTCAAATTAATCTACATAACCAAAAGAATTGGATCAAACATAAGTTAAACAAAAAATCTGTAAACTGTTCATGTGTTTGAGATCCATCAATTCAAGCTCAAACTTTGCATATAAAATCTATACGTTCAACCTCTCATCCTCTCTTGGCCCTGATTCCCTTCTGTAGTACGTTTTGATATTGGTTTTCTTACCATTTTGTACTTTTTTAAAACCGTTATAATTTATCATTGTCCTCTAGAAATGTTTTATGAAAATTATTCAAGTGTGATCATAGCCTTTACGTTTTTCATTTTTCTCCTTACCTGTCAAGCGGACAATTTTCTCTCAGAATTCTAACAGGTAAATTATTTTCGTCTCCCTATTCTTCTTTAATCACCTTATCATGAAACAAACTCTTTCTAATATCTGAAGTCTCAAACAACTTTATGATGCAATCTCTTCTGTGCTTCTATAGACTTATAAACTTATCAAACAACGATAAGTACGAATGTACGACTTAAGTAAATGATTTCGTCGAAAAGAAAATCTGCTTCGCTTAATTATATATATATATATATAACTTTAGGTGTGCTACTGAAATTGATTTATGTGTTATTTTAGTCTATTGCAAGTTATTACACATTTATATATGCTGTAAATTCTCGATATTTACCTTTAGAAGCTCAAATAACAAAAAACATATTTTTAGAAGTTCTATGAGTCTTTGCCTAGATGACTGATTCATTGAAGTAAGCATTTCACCAAGCAATACATATTATAGACTTCTCGCTGTTGATATTTTGATTGAAATTTCATTAGTCTTGGCTGGAACATGAGCATACTGTGAAGATCGCCTCAATATACCCATTATGACACAATTTGATATAGAAATGCATGTCTCGGCTCCCACTGCTAACCACATTCTATTTATTCTGAATAAACTTGTTTCATAAAATGCATTGATACTGTTGAAGTTTCAAAACTGATAAAATTCAAATGAATTATTGGTTGAGCTAATAATTCATTTTAGTTGCTGAATTTTGTACGTAGAAATTGAAACATTGAACTATCTGAGTGCATTACCAAATATATTTTAAGTTTACCAAAACATAAACTCATGTAAACAATACTAAACATTATACACACTGAAATAATTGACTACTTTATTGACTCAATAATCTAAAGAGTGACACACGAACGTTCAAAGGGGTTTTGGAGTTGATTGAGTGCACATGTTATTATCAAATTAACGACTTCTAGAGAGTACGAAACACGATTACTGGATTTAATTCCTATCGTCCACCCGAAATATAATCAAGTCATAGCTACAAGTAATATTGACAGACCAGCTGAAGGAGACGATAAGTTAGTAGTAACTGATTAAATGAAATCCCTAAGTATCTGTAA